TTTCAAATGTTTTGTGCAGCCCTAAAACCCTAACAGCCTAAGAAGTTCTGCAATAGATAATACTGCCACCATCACTAAAAATGTACACTGGTCTGGTCTAGGATCTGTACTTTTGATTATTGTCTTTGGGAAACATTTTATGTATTTATTTCCATATCCACCTTGCAGCAAACATGTGTGCAAACCTACTAACAAAATTTTCTATTATAGGTATTTGTCTATTCGCTGGGGCATAGAGTTGCCAGATGCTGTGGTCATTGTTGGTGAAACTGGTGATTCTGATTACGAGGAACTGTTTGGAGGTCTTCACAAGACGGTCATCCTTAAGGGTGGATTCAACACTCCTGCGAATAGGATCCATACGGTCAGAAGGTACCCTTTACAGGATGTTGTTGCTCTTGATAGCTCAAATATCATTGCAATTGAGGGATTCAGCACTGGTGACATCAGGTCTGCTATGCAACAACAGCTTGGTATACCCACACAATGACACCAAGTGCAATCTCTTTTGTTATTAATAGAAAGAAAGAAAGAAATGAACAACACGGATATACGATACAAACACTTCGTTTCCATTCTATTGGAAATGTCCGATTTTGCCTGCCAGTCATTTAATGTCTGTGTGTGGTCCCTGCATGGGTTATGAATGACATTCCCTTGGATCCCCGCACTGGAAATTTTTGGAGCGAAGAGCATGTTAATGGATACATCCAGCTGTACAGACGAAACAAATTTGTTCAAATGTTGATAGTGAAAACATTTTGTGGAAGCATTTTCAGCAAACAAGCTTCCAATATACAAACTCACACTTTTTCCATCACTTCAAAGTGGAGCTTATGATTACAGTGCAACCCTCTAAACTCTTTTTTCATTCTAGGAGGGGTGCCTTATATATTGTGTAAATACTGTGTCACATAAGTTAGCACCATACATCTTGTTTTCTTGAATTAATATGCCTAAGTGTTTACTCTCTTTCTATATGTTTTTTCCAACAGCCTGTCTTGTGGTTACATCATTAATACCTTTATCCATCTGCTGCTCTAGTGGCTATGAAATTATTGTAGCAACTGTGGTGCTCCCAACTATGACTTCATCATGCATGCACAGCCTTACATTATCTGCTTAAACATCATTAGTTGCTGTGACTTGCACTCAAAGCAGCTTCTAAGTTTGGTGTAGTAGCTGCAACAATTACACCACGGCCATCCGCGCTCCTTCTACCATTTGCCCCCGGATGATCACGTTTTTACTTTTGCCATTTGTTTGACCTGATTTGGTCTTTCTTTTGCTTGTTCTTGTAAACCCATAGAACCGTTTGCTTTCTTCTTTCCCCCCTCTGTGTTAAAGAGTTTGATCTTGATGCTAACCAATACCGGTTACACACAAGAAAAAAAACAGCTGGAGAGCAGTTGGACCGATTGGTTATCGGTTTGTGGTTGGCCATCTGTATCAGGAACGACTGTGATACGGCTGCTTTTCTTGAACACATACATGGAATGATAATATCAGAGTCAAAGTCGTGATAGCTCATGGTGTTTGTACATTTATTAGGTGGCTCTCCCAGATGGAGGAAATGTTCGCCAAATAAGGCCCTGTTCATTTTGCTGAAATTTGGTCGCTGCTGATGCTAGATTTCTTGTTAGAGAAAAATATTGTAGGTTTCCATTGAAAAATACTGCTGAAGAACACGACGAAAAAGAGTTGCGCGTCTGCACTCGGTTGGTTCAGTTTCAAGGTACTCCGTACCAAGTATTAATTAACTACTTGCCATTCATGTTCACACCAACAGTGGAACAGAACAAGTGCCAAGGCGGCGCATGCCCGCGCAAAACTACAGAAACGTAGTCTTCAATACAAATACTCAACCACTGTCTTCTCTCTGAGAGTCTGAGAATAACTGCAAAGGATCGTCAACGATTTCTTTTGGTGACGAAATATATCACTATCATCCTCGTACAACAAATATAAATGAGTGGCTAAGGTTTCTAAACATGGTCCCTGTTCGTTTGAAATTTTTGGTTTTATAAGCGTTCCACTACCGAAAATCTTGTTACCGATTTAGTGTGAGAGAAAATATCGTTAGTTGGCTGATAAGTTTATGCCTTATAAGTTCGAATACTACTCAAAGCTTAACAGTGATAGTATGGATGACCTCTCAAATTTCGGATACAAATACAACACATGAATACAGGAACTAAGATACTTCTCTACCCAATCAGTCTTGCTTAGAGGTGGTAGTGAATCTGGACTATCCAAAATCTAATTGGACATTTGTTGCTTTAGATATACTTGGATAAGATCCATTTGGATTTGGATATCCATCCCCATGTGATCCAATAATTTCTAAAATTCACAGGAGAGCAACTCAAAAAATCCAATGCCCATTGGATACCTTTGAACTTGAGAAATCGGTCCCTAATGTCTAGCTTAGATTTCTAATGTAGGACTCACGTGTTGATTTTGCTATACATAGAGTAGCTGACTGTTATACCAAGTCGTTTCAAATAAATCTCAGTTAATTTTGCTAAAATTTTAGTGTGAATGAGAGGTCGTTTTTAGTTTTACGGTCTAGCTTTTAATGTGAGCCCACATTTATTTATAGACACACTAATATACACAGAGTAGCTGGTGGTCATACTAAATCATCTCCAATAAATTTCAGTCAATTTCGCTAAAAAAATCAAGATATGAACATGAGATTTTTAATTCTAGAGTTTAGCTTTTGATATGGGGCCTGCATGTATATTTAGCAACATCAATTTGCACAAAGTAGTCGGTTATTATACCATATCATGTCCAACCAATTTCGGTCAACTTTGTCAAAATTTTAAAATATGAACGTGATAATTTTTAGTTTTGGGGTCGAGCTTGTAACGTGGAGGACCGTACACATATATAACCATACCAATATGCACAAAAACAGTGGGCTGTCATAATGTTAATGTGGGGACGCGAAGTTTTAATTCCACACAGTCCAGCTTTATACATGAGATCATCATCTAGGCATCGTACTTTTGCTATTATTAGACTGTCATGAATAAATTTGGACTTTAAAATAATTGGATCAGATTGGATTGAGCGTTAATCATTTGAAACTGGATTTAGCTAGGTGTCGGACTTCTTTTCCCTTGGATTTCAATTGAGGTTTCATTTGGATTTGAACTCTAATCGGTTACCACTCTGGTCTCGCTTCTCGGCATGCACGATTCTAAGAGCCATCGCTGACCCTGCTGACCTGGTCCTGCAACATGCGAATCCTTGTGCGTGCACTGCACTGCACTTCTCGTCATCATTCCCGAATCATCACCGGCGCTGCTGCTGGCTGCACCGATCACCTCGTCTGAAACTGAAACCCACACGTTTCGTGCTAAAATACCAGCCTCGTCACGTCGAGTCATATAAACTCATAATCACGTCGGTGACAGGAAAGGAAACATCCATCCACCCGTCAGAACTCAGAAGTCAGAACGCAGAAGCCGGCAGCCTCCCCTCCTCCTGCCTTGCCGGGCCGAGTTGGTTGCGAGCTCCCAACCAACCGGGTCGGCTGCCGCGCGGACCATGACGACACGCCGCCCGCCGCCGCGCTTTTCTCGGCGTTCCGACGGGTTGCCCGCACGCCACGACGGGAAGAGACCTGCAGGTGGGCAGAGGGTCTCCAGGTCCTCCTCGGCGGCGGGGTGCGGGGGGCGAGTTTGCTGGAGAATTCATTGCGGCGGTTGGGAAGATGGATGGATGGGTGGCCAGCAAGCAGACCAACGAGCCCAAGCGGGTCAAACTCAACTCAAGGGCTTCAGCTTCAGGGGACCCGCGGCGACGGGCGATGGCCAGGAGCAACATTGCAACAACTACACCTACCTGTATTCTGCCCCACTGCCAAATGCCAATGCCGTGCCACCGTGATGGATTTGCAAAGCGATTTTTAATAAGATTGGTATAGGGATGTCCTCGTCCTAATTCATTTAGGTTTATCTTAAGCCGAAGTTTTTCACTATGTCGGTGGCCAATTAGTGGACTTGTATTTGTTATAGGATGAAGTGTGTGGTTTAGCTAGGTTTGAGCAAGAACTCAATTAATTTTCTGAATTCACAGTTGGTGTAGAAATGTGAGCACTTTATATATGGACGACGTAAACACACATGGGATTTATCTGAAGTCAATATTGAACTGAGAACTGGAAATTTACAACTACTGTTTACTGTGTTTTCAGGCTTGGAAAGATACACTTCCCTGCCACTGGCGATCTAGCATACTGAAGTTTCTGTGACATTAAAATGGTCCAGTCATCAGAATTAAATATGCCAGTGAACTCTGCCCTGTTGTTAGTACCATTTGATTTCCTCTTTTATGTTTCTTATCAAAACCAAAAAAAAAAGATGATTGATGTGGGCTCTTTTTAATTTTCCTTCCCAACACCAACAGTGTCCTCCCCCGGCTCCTCCTTCTGTGAGGACCTTGACAACAGTGTCGATGTGGGTTGTCCTCCTGCCCTACCTGTATTTGTCCATGTCCCCTTCACTTCAAAGCAGTCAGGCCCCTCCCCTACCCCTCGTGTGTGCACACATTACCACCACACCAGATACACACTATCATCTCATCTCCTACAATTATATACTACGTGGCCAGCGACATACATGTGATGAGCCCTGGAGCAACATACATGTGATGAGCCCTGGACGTTTTCGCTTCAGCTTGGAGGCATCGACCAGAGATAAATTCAGGCCATGAAAGAGGAAACAAAAGCAGCTTAAATACCACTGCAGCCTCGCGTTCCTTGCCTTGTTTGCAACAACTTCTTGCAGGCTTGCTTGGTTGCTTGCGTTCAGTGCAGCTCACAGCCTCACGCTATATCACTGCGTTGTCTGTGCTGTGCGCCCATCTCCAGCTCCAGCCAGGTCTTTATAGCAAAGCCTTCCGGTTCCTGGCCCCGTGATAATTCTAGAGAGAGAAGGGCAGAGAGGTGAGAGAGCAAGAGGTGTAGAGAGAGGGAAGGCGTGGTGGGCATGGAGAGTGAGGAGGGCGCCACAGTGTGTGAGTGTGACCACGCCCACCAAGAAGAAGCAGCGGCGGCGGCGGCCATGAAGGAAGCAGGAGGAGGGGGAAAGAGGAGGAGGAAGCAGCAGAGGAAGGGAGGGGACGGCGGCGGAGGGAGGAAGAAGTACGCGCTGGTGAGCTACCACGAGCTGCCGGAGTACATGAAGGAGAACGAGTTCATCCTCAACTACTACCGCTCCGAGTGGCCCATCCTCAATGCCGTGCTCAGCCTCTTCTCCTGGCACAACGAGACCATCAACATCTGGACGTACGGGTTCACTGCCGGGCCCGGGCTCGGCTCATCTCCTGAATCATTTCTTGGTGTGGTTTTCCTGAATCTTGCTGCTGAAATTTAATGGTCTCGTGGTTGTGGGTGCAGGCACCTTCTTGGGTTCATGCTGTTCTTTGGCCTCACCCTGGTGCATCTCGGCCAGTACTTCCCCCAGGTGGCTGATCTGATTGGGCACCTCTCCTGGTGAGCAACTACTCTTCAGATTTTGCTACTAAATCTCATGTGAGTGCAAATTGGTTGATTTGTTAGGAATTAGTAGAGTAGCGCAACACCATGTTTCCAGCCATTCAGTGACAATGGACAACACCATGCTAATAGGATTTTACACCATGCTTAGCTTCTGGTTCAAACTTCAAAGGCACACGGTTGTTGTGGGTTTGTACTGAAACTTCTGTGCTAGTAACTTAAGCTGTACTCTGAAGTCTCGCCAATTGAGTTCAATTCCAAAACACGTGACGTAACCTCGACAGCGATGGTACATATGTTTGCTTCAGCTATGATGACATTGTTGAGTAAAGAAAGTAGTTCTATACTCTATAATTGAGAAGTTGCGTTATTACTTGTAAAAATTCTTCTCTGTTTTTTTATTTCTGCAGGCCAATCTCAAAGGTTGCTGAAAATGTCTCCAGCAATATTGGAGATGTCCTATCAGTGAGTAACTTTCACTCCCTGCAACATTTTATCCTGTCCATGCGGTAATTCTAGGAGAATATACTAGATTGCAGTAAAAATGCCCTGGTTAGATCTGCATGAGCAGGACATTATCGACAAAAGATGCACGATAGTCCTCCGAGAGGTATCCCACGAAGGTAGATTGATCGGTAGAGGTGCGCGTGATAGGAACCGGATGGTGACACAAGACGTAGAGACAGCGATTTAGACAGATTCGGGCCGTCTGATTGATATAATACCCTACGTCCTATGTCTTTGGTGTATTGTATTGAATATGGGATGTCTGTAGATGTTGACTGGAGGGACCCCTGCCTCTCCTTATATACTCTGGAGGGGTAGGGTTATAAGGAAAGTATCATATTTGGTACTATACAATATCTTGCGGTGCACGTCGACCAGTGGCGTGCACGCCATGATCTTGTGGGCTAGACCACCTCTGATGGTGCGGCCCATGTCTTGTCTTATGGATATCGGGGGTCATATCCCTCACAGCTAGTCCCTGAGCGTCTTGTATCCTTCGAGTAACGCTGTCTTAAACAAGTCCAAGCACTTTGACGTGAAGCCGATCAGTTTAACTGGTGATCCGAGCAGTTGAAGTCGAAACTGACCAGTTTGGTGACCTGGGCGGTGAAGGTCGAAGCCGACCAGTTTAACTGGTGACCTGGGCAGTGAAGGTCTAAGCCGACCAATTTAACTGGTGACCTGGGCGGTGAAAGTCAATGCCGACCAATTTAACTAGTTATGAGACTTCGGACTTAGCCAAGTAAGGCTTGCTAGAAGGATGTAAGGGGCTCAAGATAAAATTTAAAAATTCTTCTACTTAGAAGAAGTGTAGCCACTTAGACTCCGTCAATAAGGAGAGTAAATCAAGAAATAAACACTACATTCACCGTCAGGTGAAGTGTAGACACTTAGTCATAGAGCCTGCTGAAAAATAAAGAATGAATCTTGTAGCAGAGTCAAAGAAAAGAAGTCTGAAAGCTTGCCGATGTCATCTGACATGCGCGTATCAAGACCCCAGACGTGCTGTCCAAGATCAGCACTCTGATCCGAACAGCATGGAGCAGTTTGATAGCACACCGATAAGACACATCAAGATCCGACCACCAAGTGAGTCCTCAGCTTAGCTGGCGATGCTTACACGAAGAATCCGAACATCGAGGAGCCCCCCGCGTAGCTGGCGATGCTTGCACGAAGAATCCGAACATCGAGGAGTCCCCGGCGATGTCCGAGCACCGAGGAGTCCCCGGCGTAGCTAGCGATGTCCGAGCACCGAGGAGTCCCTGGCGTAGCTAGCGATGTCCGAGCACCGAGGAGTCCACGGCGTAGCTGGCGATGTTCGAGCACCGAGGAGTCCCCGGCGTAGCTGGCGATGAAGCACGAGCGACGAATAGTCCGACCAACTAGTCGGCGGCGAAGTGAGCATTGAGTAGAAGCGACCGGCGAACAGTCCGATCAACTGGTCGGCGACAAAGTCCATGAACCTAGCGGTTCGACCAGTTGATCGGTGGAGAAGTCCGAGCACCAGGTGGTCCGATCACCTGGACGATGATCTTGCAATATAAATATGTAGAACGGGTAGTACATGATGTAAAAATATATGAACTCCGGAGAAGAATCAACAATGGTGATGAAATAGTGTATGCAGCTCGGCGATTAGTTGGTATGAAGATGTATTTATATTTATATAAACCGCCCGACCAGTTAGTGTGTAACTGAGTCTTCAGCCCTAGCTAGCCCGTTAACCATAACACAGAGCGTGGAGCCCGTGTTCGTGTAAGAAGAACAAAGCGTCGCTAAGGAGCCGCTGCCGACCACCCATAACGCAGAGGGCAGACACTTGTGCACATATAGGGAGGAGCCGGAGACAGGGCCGTCTCTGGGGACATCCGAGCGTCAACACGACTGTTCGGGGGTTCGCTTTAGACTTAGCTGTATGTCATCTTTAAGATGGTATACATGAAAGAAAATCGTTTGGAGAGCAAACATGGAAAAAAACAGCTCGGAGAAGCATTATGGCGATATACGAAGATTGGAGAATATTTAGAAAAATATTAAAGCGTGACTTAGCTTTAGACAGAACGTTTGGTCGGCGTTGACGAAGTTGCCCAGCCTTCGAGCTTTCTGAACTGTCGTTTGGCGGCGGTCGCGGTTGTCACGACGCCGTTCTTCGCGGCGACCATCATTGCGACGCGGCAGGTGGTCGGAGTAAGTAGTCCAGGCGACGTCGTTCTTATATTAGTGGTCGGCTATGCGGGCAGCTCGCTTAGCGGCTCAGACGGTTCGTTTTAAAGCTCGGACGGGTACATGAAGTCGTAGGCGAACCGGGCGTAGGCGGAGCGCGTTGGCCATGCAAAGGCCGGAGCTCACAAACGTGCGGAGTCGTGGCGTAGCCTGATGAAGTCCACTGCGCGGCGAGATATACACGCAAATGTTTGCATGCTTGCATGCCCGACGGAAGCTTTGCATGGCGGTGTAGATATATCATCACGTGATGACATAATGCTATGTTTAAATCTTCGGCGTTGATGCATGCAGTGGCTGAAGCTTGGACTTTGTATTCGCTGAAACACCGATCTCGTTGAGGTGTAGGACCAGATCTAAAACGCTGCTGCAGATGAAGTCGCAAGTCCAACCGACTTGCTTTTTGCCGTTGAGATCCCGACGAACCCGGAGCATGGGATCATATTGCTAAACGCCGGCAATTGCAGATTAATAAATAAACTCTTCCACGCACGATGATATACTGCCGTGGATCACTTCGAGACACCCGTAGCAAGCTACTGGCGGGGCGCCGTCGTCATGTTGAATTGTCGCGGACGATGACGAAGAAATTCTCGTACAAAATCGAGAGTCTATCTTGTCGAAAACATGACGTTGATCTTGAGGTACGCCATATGGCACGCATACGCCCCACGGTGGGCACCAACTATCGACAAAAGATGCTCGACAGTCCTTCGAGGGGTATCCCACGAAGGTAGATTGAACGGTGGAGGTGCACGTGATAGTAACCGGATGGTGACACAAGGCGTAGAGACAACGATTTAGACAGGTTCGGATTGTCTGATTGACATAATACCCTACGTCCTGTGTCTTTAGTGTATTGTATTGAATATGTGATGTCTGTAGATGTCGACTAGGGGACCCCTGTCTCTCCTTATATACTCTGAAGGGGTAGGGTTACAAGAAAAGTATCATATTTGGTACTATACAATATTTTGCGGTGCACGTCGACCAGTGCCCAGTGGCGGAGCCAGGATTTATAGTCAGGGGGGGCCGGCCGTCAGGAATTATACTTAGGGGGGGCCGGCTCGGTCTTTTTCATTACGATAATTTTATTATCTAGTTGTGTTTTGTATGATTATATTATCTAGAAGATATTAATAGGTATATATGACAAGAATTTTATATAATCTTCCTCTTAATATAAATAAAAAATATTAAGTTATACTACTAATTTTTTTTGTTGTCAAACATTGGGGGGGGCCATGGCCCCTGCCAGCCCCCCCCTGGCTCCGCCAGTGCCAGTGCCGTGAACGCCTTGATCTTGTGGGCTGGACCACCTCTGATGGTGCGGCCCTTGTCTTATCTTATGGATACCAAGGATCATATCCCCCAAGGACATCCTGCCTGCTACTTTGAATGCATCAAACAAAAGTTTGTACTGGTTTGTTGCTTTTTGTTTGTTCTGATGTGCTGATGTGCATGATATGGAGGGCAAGGGTGGGTGAGCTTCTGACTGCCTGACTTGATGAACCTTGTTAGATTCAACTTTTTTATGGTGCCTGCCTTTTATCTGGTCCCCGTGTTAGAAGGCACAAATGTACTGTTGCTTCACATCATCACAATAAGTTAAAATTTCATGATGTGTTAGGAGGATTGGATTGTGATCTATGTGATCGTCCACACTCTGGCGTCATGACCGCCATGACACGACACGGCTCTTGTGTTCTCACGGCTCTTGTGTTTTCACGGCTCCTTAAACATTTCGAATCGTCATGGTCGCCTACCTAATCAGTAGAAGAAAGACACCGTATGAAACAATCTATCATCATCTATATTGTTTGGAGGTTAGGTGGTGTGAAAAATGTCACGGATCCTAGCCATACAATGCAATTTGCGTGATCTTGGGGGCTATGCTATATTGCCATCATGCCATGTGTATACTAAGTTGTCGTATGAAGCCATGTTTCCTAGAGGATTTCTTACCAACCTTCCTGTTTCACTTGATAGTTTTAATGCCGATTGTTACTACTAGATCGAAACATGATCATGTATAGATGTTATGCCATGTGACAAGTAGTTTCATGCCAAGCCATGTTTCATGAAGGAATTCCTGCCAAGTTATGGACCTTCCATTTTCACACATGATAATTTCTCTGTTGATTCTTCTATTCCAACAAGCTGGTACAGTGGTACTTAATAATGGATCATGTATGTATAGCAGACCTTAGTCTGAATCGTTAGTAATTGATGTCACTGTTTGGCAACAAAAGTATTCAATGAGTACAAACCCAAACGGGGCTATTGTTGGATGTAGTATTCAGGCTGTACCTTGACAATTATTTGGAGCATGCAGCACATTGCTTTCAGATGTTTAATGCCAACATCATGCTAGTAGTAGTAGCAGAGTCTAGTTGTTGATTCTGGTAACCTACTAACCTGCCATGGCAAACAATGATGATCTTAACTTGGATTGGAATTGTCATGTGTGGTCCGTCCGTCCAGGGCGCGGCCATGTTCATCCAGACGAACCCGACGCTGGTCTCCTACGGCGTGGCGGTGACGTCCCAGACGACGCGGTGGCCCTTCTTCGTGTTCCTGGCGGGCGCCATGTTCTGCCTGCTGAGCAGCAGCGCGTGCCACCTGCTGTCTTGCCACTCGCACCGTCTGAACCTGTTCCTGATCCGCCTCGACTACACGGGCATCGCGGTGATGATCGTGGTGTCCTTCTTCCCGCCCATCTACTACATCTTCCAGTGCGAGCCGCACTGGCAGGTGGTGTACCTGTCGGCGATCACGGCGGCGGGCATGGGCACGGTGTATGCGCTCATGTCCCCGCGCCTCAGCGCGGCGCGGTACCGCGCCCACCGCGCGCTGCTGTTCGTCGGGATGGGCCTGTCGGGCGTGGTGCCCGCCGTGCACGCGGTCGCCGTGAACTGGCACGAGCCCTGCCGGAACGTGACGCTGGCCTACGAGGGCGCCATGGCCGCGTCGTACCTCGTCGGCACCGCGTTCTACCTCACCCGGGTGCCCGAGCGGTGGAGGCCCGGCGCGTTCGACCTCGCCGGGCATAGTCACCAGATCTTCCACGCGCTCGTCATCGCCGGCGCGCTCGCGCACTACGGCGCCGCCATCGTGTTCCTCAAGGCCCGCGACGAGATGGGGTGCCCAGCCAGTTAGCTGTGGTAATGACACCGGATGCGGGATGCCCGCGACGACATGGGGGTGTCCGTCGAGCGATCGAGGATTGGGAACAAGAAATTAAACCCTTTTTTTTTGTTTACACCTTTACTTTAGTTACAGCAGCAGCAAGTGTGCAAGATTCATCGTTAATGACAGTTGATTGGCGTCAGTCACAGATTCCTTCTCAATTTGTACATAGAAGAAGCTCATCGAGTCATGATTGATTAATACATTCTTTCCATCGGTTTGGAATATGCAAATTCGAAAGTTATTTTTTTTAATCAAAACTGAATGCAGGCAATAGATGTTTCGCGTCTGTCTGTCTGCGTTGCCATATCCGACAACGCGAGCCAGCGACGACTGAGCTACTCGTCCAGTACCCGTTGCCTTCAGGCGGAGTAGCCTAGACGCGACGCCGAGGCCGGTGGCCGGTACAGATGGCGCCGTCGAGCTCCAGCCTCCAGGCTACAGCGATCCTCATCGGCCGGGCTCATAAATGGGCGGTCGACCCGTCCAACAACCGGAACGGACGGACCTCTGACCTCTCATTCCGTGCAGCCCGCAGCTGTCATGCCCCGCTGTCGGTCCAGTAGACCGGCCAGCCGTCACGACGTCCCCGTACGTCCACGCGTGCCATTTACACTCGCCTAGTTCGCCGGCCGGCGCCGTCGCCGTCGGCATCATTTCGGCAGCCGGGCCGTTGCTGCCGAGTGCCAACCCAATCATGGCGCGACCGCGAGGCATTCCTGCCACCGGCACCGCCGCCGCCGATCCGTGTCGTTGGCCCACGCCACAGGGCCCCAAGTCGTGTGAGCAGTGAGCTGCTGGCCGCTCAACGCCGGGGAGACTATTGCGATTTCCTCTTTTTTTTTTTTTTTGAGGAACAGACTATTGCGATTTGACAAGTCCAAGTAGCATGGGCCGCACTGCTCAGAACACATGGGCTAACTGGGCCGGGAAAGGAGAAGAAGGAAAACACGGAGGGCTTTCACGACCCACGACGAGCGAGCGAGCGAGCGAGAGAGGAGAGAGAGACGGAGAGGGGGGAAGTTAACGCGCGGGGATGCCGGAGCTGCCGGAGGTGGAGGCGGCGCGGCGGGCGCTGCAGGCGCACTGCGTGGGGAGGCGCATCGCGCGCTGCGCCGTGGCGGACGACGCCAAGGTGGTGGTCGCCGCCGCCGGCCGCGCGGCCTTCGAGCGCGCCATGGTCGGCCGGACCATCGTCGCCGCGCGCCGGAGGGGCAAGAACCTCTGGCTCCAGCTCGACGCGCCGCCCTTCCCGTCCTTCCAGTTCGGTCAGTCCGCAAGAACTACTTACTACGTGGCGGCCTCTAGAGTTGGCCAGTCTTTGGTACTGCTGTAGCTTCGGTGCCCTGCTAGTGCTGCGTTGCCTGCCTTGTGTATTGTTGTTATTAAAAAATTGGTAGTTGAAATGGCACCTTTGGTTTATGCTGCTAAGAATCTGGTCGAAAATTACCGTGATTAGTTGTGATTCAGGTTTAATTATCCTTAGCAATCGCATGAATTCTGCTACTTTGCGTGGGTCTTATACTAAGGAAGTGAGGGGTTATAAGAGCATGCTTTGGATTGCAGGGATGGCAGGCGCGATATATATCAAAGGCATTCCTGTGACGAAGTATAAGAGGCAAGTGACCTTTTTCCGTTTTCCGTTTTATACTTTGCAATTTTGTGAGCTCAGCAATCGGTTTCTAGGAAATAATTCTTCGCAAGGCTGCAGATCCGTTGTCAATTCCGAAGAGGAGTGGCCCTCCAAATACTCCAAATTCTTTGCTGAGGTAACGATCCCAAACATAATGTCGCATCAATTTTGTTTTCTAGCGTGGCACTCACGCTCTTGTTGGTTACATGTTACTTTTGCAACTGGGATTGTATGTATAGACTGATAAAATGTGATATCCAGTACTACAAGTTATCAAGTTTAAATCAACACTATTGTTGATTAGGACATTGACACTCAAAAAGCAAGAAATGTCTTCCAGTAAACCCTAGTAAACAATACATCTCCAGATGAGCCAGTAACTAATCATTCAACAAAACCACATGAACAGTGGCTGTGAATGCCCCCACTTGCTAATTAGGATATGGAAAGAAACTTAGAAACAGATTAAATTGTTGATTAATCTCAGTTTCATCTCTGATGACTGCTGCTTGAATGGCTGTTCAGTTCAAAGAGTGAATGGCACATTTAATATTAATCTCAGATTCTCAGTTCAGTTTCATACTAGCCCGTTTGTATAAATTTAAAAAATTGGCTCGTGGATGTTGGTTTTGAACTTTATTATTTCTAACCTTTTTTGCTTGATTTATAGCTTGATGATGGTTTGGAGTTCTCTTTCACTGATAAACGGCGTTTTGCAAGAATTCGTTTGTTTGACGATGTAGGTATTTTTCATAGGTTCTGTTTAAAAATCTGAAGATTTCTTTCCTGTTTCTCATACAGATTTTCTCACCCAAGTTATATTTGCAGCCTGAAACTGTACCCCCGATTTCTGAGCTAGGTCCAGATGCTCTGTTTGAGCCAATGTCTGTTGACAATTTCTTGGACTCCCTGGGTAGAAAGAAGATTGGGATAAAAGCTCTTTTACTTGATCAGGTTATCAGCATCCAACCAATACAAGCTTTCCCCATGCAAAAATATTTTCCCTGCAATGTACACACTTGACTTGTTGCAGTTTTTATAAAATGAGCAGAGCTTTATATCAGGCATTGGTAATTGGATTGCAGATGAGGTGCTTTACCAGGTATTCGTACATTCTACAGCAGTTGGTGTGGCTCGCATAAAATGTAGCGATTAAATTTGATATTTTTTTTTTCAGTCAAGAATCCATCCACTACAGATTGCTTCGAATCTACCTAGGGAGAGTTGTGAAGCACTGCACCGAAGTATCCATGAGGTGGGTCTAATTGGACAATGCTATGTACTAAATTACATTCTACTGAAGTAGCCATGTAGCATACCGAACTCCTGATTAAGAATTTACTAGGTTGTGAAATATGCTGTTGAAGTTGATGCTGACATGGACCGCTTTCCAAAGGAATGGTTATTTCATCACCGTTGGGGCAAGAAGCCTGGCAAAGTCAATGGTAAGTCTTTCCTCACTTTTAGTCATGATTTCCCTGAACATACTTGGGCAAAGCCTTCACTTACGATGTTTGCTGATATCTGTCTTTTTATATGATGATGTATAAGGCAAATCAAACTTGTTAATTCCATTGCTGCATGCACTCGCATCAGACTTTGATTCCTTCGGAGGATTAATTAAGTTTTTGGTCCTTCAGGAAAGAAAATTGAATTCATCACAGCTGGTGGCAGGGTAAGTAATTATCCACTTCAGTACTAGACCTTCAGCTATGGCCAGACAGGTCTAACTTCTGATACTACTTTGTTTACTCAGACTACTGCCTATGTGCCGCAATTGCAAAAACTGATTGGAACCCAATCCAGCAAAATGATAGCCACTAACCTGGAATGGCTGGCCGAGAATGGTGATACCAAGGATTCAGGGACTGAGGGAGAAGATGCAGATATTTTGAAGCCAAAAAAGCGAGCCGCAACCTCCAGGACTGCCAGGGGGCAACAAAACAAAGATACCGTGGGTGCCAGTTCGAGAAAAGCAAGGGGAAATGGTGGTGGCAGTAAGAAACCAGATGCCGATGTTGAGCCTGCTGAACCAGAAACAGTTGTCACCGAAAGCAACGGTGAGCAAGTTTTGGACAAATCCAACAGTAATGCTATCAATAAGTCAGGTCAGGTTACAAGAAGATCGTCAAGGAAAGTGAAACCCCGTAAGTAAACCTGAACAAGGTAGCCAGGAATCGGTCCGTTGATTTTCACTATTATTAGCAATCAGCATTTTGGTGTATATTTTTCTCAAAAAAAAAAACATTTTGGTGTATATGTGTAGTGGCCAGCATATTTTGCGCTTAGTGAAAACCTGGAGGAATGGTTTCAGCACGCTCTGTTTTGGTTGTAGCACGCTCTGTGTAATGTACTATTGAGTTCAGTTTATGCCGAAGCCCACCAATCCTCGCTCCGGGTAACCCCGTAGCAAGGTTGCCGGTCATCAGACATCGACACTTGTGCTCATCAATCACCCAAACCCCATAATCACCACAATGGGGCCTAGATGCATTCACCTATGATTTAGATGGGAGCAAATACACAGATCATGGACACTTTGTCATCCAAGAAAATGACCAACAACCGATGTTCTAGGCTTCCAGCCCAAGTATTCTGTTGAACTTGTGGGATTCTTAAATCTAACTTGTTATTTTGTTTGTATAATTTGTAGGCTTCTCAATCTTTTATTTTAAATAAGAAAAATGCACCTCAATGTAACTAGCCATTATGTCAGTAGCCCCTATTGACTTTTTAAACCCTTTTTTGAAATAAAAGGCATCTCAATGTAACTTGTTATTTGGCTCGATGTAGCTACCAACACCATATTGTTTAGATCTGGATTCTCATCCACTATTTAAAGTATTCCACGTCCTCCCAATATATTGGTAGGAAAACTTACCTTCTTCACCATCCTGATGATCATTTGTTTGAGCTCCATACATCGTTGTTGTGTTTGTTATTCTCAATGAGAAAAATCCAATTTTACTATAACCATCTAACAAAAGAAAGAGAACCTACATGTGTTATATATGTTTTTGCATGTGTTCCACCTGTCATTGATGGCGGATGATGGAAGCCACATGGCATATGTAGGTAGATAAAACGAAACATGGGTATCTCAAGGAAATTTTAAAATATTAAATGGAATGGATCTTAAAAGAAATAGAATAAAAATAATGTCAGATGAAATATTTAGGCAAAACAACACCTATACATATGTGTTAGGTCATGGCAACTAGTATATATTATTCTTAAATTTCCTTCAGTCATCCACGTTTGTTTTGATTTATCTACATATGACATGTGGCTTTCCTTGTCCACCATCAATGACAAGTGATACACATGCAGATACGTATATGACACACATAAGTTCTCTTTCTTTATTAGATGGTTATAGATAAAAAAAGGATTTTGTTCATTGAGAATAACAAACACATCAACCACATGTCTAGAGCTCAAGCAAACAATCACCATGATGTTGTTGAAGGTTAGTTTTCCTATCGGTATATTAGGAGGATGAGGAATACCATAAGTAGTGGTTGAGATTCCAAAACTAAACAATATGTCACGGGTACTTAGATTGGGCGGATAAAGGGATATAGACAAAAGAATGGTTTAGGTTGAGAAGCCTTTTAAAAAAAGGTTTGGGAAGACCACTAACACTTCCAACAAAATAATTATTTAGATTGAGGTACTTTTTTCTTTCAAGAAAAAGGATTTGAGAATGAAGCACAAATGATACTGACAAAATTAAATGGCTAGCTAGATTAAGAAAGCCCACAGGTCCAATACAACACTTCTTGGGTTGGAGCATTGTCTATTGGCTAGCGTCCATGATCTGTTTATCCACTCCCATCTAGATTAGAGGTTTAATGTTTGATACAGAACTCATCAGAGTTAGTAGTATGATCTTTGTTTCTCTGCTTGTCAAAAGCAAGGTAGAATGGAATGCAAAACCACTAGACCATAATTTGTAATAGTCATGAATAGATGCAACTGTTAAGTAAAGAAGATTCAGTTGGCAAGTTGGACGAGAATAGAATTAGGATGAAGTTAATGTGTCACCTAAAAGGTGGATTTTCTTGAAGTCAAAGTAAAAAAAAATTGTAATGGCCCTTGTCGCTTCTCTTATAATCCGTACTTTTCAACTTATTTTTTCAATAGGAACAATATTTTTTCTCTTACAACAAATCAGCCGGAACAGTGTTTCAGTTTGTTTTTTCAGCGAAGCGAACGGGGCCAATATATTACAAGTCTTCAACACAGAATAAGATGCTTTTGGAAAACCATGACGAAGCACATAGCTAGATTGTTGGCAGTGCATTCGTTTCAACATTTTTTTGTACAATTCCAGTAGAGAGATATTCATACTTGGTAATTATCAGACACCTAAATTTTTGGTAGTACTATATGCTAGCAAAGATCCTAAAAAAATGCTAGCAAAGAAGCGCACCTGATGAAGAATACACAATCCCAAAAGGCCACCATGACATGCATCATGCGCCAATCTCTGCCGCAAAACTCTAGGATCACCAGCAACACAAAGGAGGACATGGACCAATGCACGTGCATCATGGAGTTCTTGGGGTCGCCATGCGAGACCGATGATTGACTATTGCAGGCGACAACCTAGTAATATCCTCGGCATTAGCAGGCTTGGATTAGTTGACTACGTACAGCCTCTGACCGAGTAACCTACGTCAGTACCATGAGTCCATGGGCACATGTCAGGTGGCTGGCATACCATGATGGCACCTCCACTGCTGGGATCACTATAGCCAGCGCTGGAAATGACACGCCACCGAATGCTGGCAGCATGGCATGGTGCCCTCAGATTGATGATACTAACCTAGGAACTCTACCGCAGAGCTATCGTAGTCATCAAATCCAAGTCAACAAATGACGACAACAAGTGGATCCTTGCCCTCCTATGTTTCTCCACGGCCGACCGACTGAGCAAGGTACCTTTTTTCATTCGCCGGTGATCGTCTTTGATTTGGGTGGCATGGCAAGCCGCATGCCTACATGATGCACACAAGGATGCTTGTTGGGACGGTGTGCATATCTGATGCTTCTGTTCCTGCATGTTGATTATATATGAGAAAATGTGTAGCTAATACATTAACCAAATATGAAGTTGTTCACTGTTGAGAAGAAAAGCTTCAAACAAATCTATTATTAATGGCCTAGCAATGTCACCAAGGTGTTCCAAAAAACATTTTGTTCGGTGTAAAAGACATGTACGACATGCATCTATATGTGACTTCAATTTTCTACATAATACAAAAAAGGATGAAGGCGGCTTAACTAAAAATCAAACACGTAAGTGCTCCAACTCACATAATGAACTATCCATGACTCTCTAATTCTTCTCGTGGACTCCTCTGATAGCCAACCTTGCTCACTACTTCTGTTAAATAAAGGTTGCCTATCCATGGCTAATCATGCAAAATATATTTGTTTAGTTCTGCTTAGTTCCTATGGTTGTTTGGACTAAAATAAAGAAAAAAGCTAACCTTAATAAAATCTTAATTGAACCTACGATCTATATGCAACCATAATCATGTTCCAACAATAATCTTGTGAGGTTTTCAAATCTAACTCATTATTTGTTAGTTGTGCTATTTCCCCGATCTTGCTACTCGCAACAATCAACTGTTTAGATCGAGAACTCTTAATCTCTAGTGCCCATATTCATCGTATGATACATAGAAAGGGAAAAAAAGAAACCTCCTGCACCGCGGCGATAATTGTTGGCCTGAATTCCATCCATGACTATCACTAGTGTTCTCTTCATAAACAGAAGCCGTTTATTTATAGCCATCCAGTGGAACGAAGAAGTTACACGTGTCTTAAGGAATCTTTGCATGTTTGCCACATGCCATTTGGTTGTGAATGAAAAGAAGCCACTTGTCATGAGAAGGTGGACAAAAGAAAACACGCGTCTTAAGGAACCTGTGCATGCCCACCACGTGCCATTTGGTTGTGAATGAAAGGAAACCACTTGTCATGAGAAGGTGGGCAAAAGAAAACACGCGTCTTAAGGAACCTTTGCGTGTCCACCACGTGCCATTTGGTTGTGAATGGAAGAAAGCCACTTGTTATGAGAACGTGGACAAAAGAAAATGTGGCGGAGAAGAAATTTAAGACGTATATAAATAGGTCCTAGAAAGAATGAATATTAATGATAGCCAAAATACTTAAACAAAACTAAAAATAGACCCCCCAAAAGTAACTTCAAATTATAAATACTTCTACTATCAAACTAGTTTCCTTTACCACCTATTAGATAAAGTCCTTGTTTGTGAAGTTCTCTATTATGATTTTAATGCATAAAAACACATGTGACCTCCTATGATAATCTGCTTATGCCACTAAAACTAGAAAATTATGTGACATTACCAAATCTACGGTGCTTGTGTGATGAAAAATCAATCTTCACCTATCGTGCAAGTTAAATCATGTTTTGTGGCAAAAATATGTTTTTGACCATAGGTCTTATGACAATCATGCTTTCATCATTAAATTATAACATTTGTTTCTTGTTAGGTACAAAAAAATGCAACAAATTTCTTATGGCCTCGTCAAATGCCCACATATCTTGCGGCTTATTTGTGGGCAAGAAAAAGTTGCAAATATCATGTGGTTCGTTAAGGTCCATGTAGAAAGTAGCCAAATTTTGAGCTCATCCCAATTGCAAGCCCTATTCCTTCTCCACTAGGCCACGTCAAACAATTTTATAACCACTGCACTTTTTTTTAAGGTCCATTTTTCAAGGTACAACCCATCTTAGGCGTGCAATCTATGTATGGGCCTATCATTTACAAATCAAGCCATTTTTGGCCCACACTACTATAGAATTCATTTTCTTTGCACGATTTTCACCACTAGTTTGGTCAGAACAGGCAACAGTAGTGTTTCACCACCATCTTAAAAGTCGGTGAGGTGTAGTGGACCTTGAAGATAGCGTTGAGAATTCTCACAATTTTCACCACTAGATCATACGATGATCCAGCAATGAAAACACTTTTTACTACTAGATTGAAGGCCACTACACCACCTATTGTTCAACCGGTGAAGAAAATAGGTTTTACCATTGAAAGCACTAGTTTGGTTTTGGTAATTGGGTGCCAACCATGTGGACAAATGTTTTCATTTAGTATGATTAGCTAG